GCTTCGCTCTCTCCTCTTCTCTTCATTTCTCTGATTGTCTGTCCGGATCAACGATTGTATGAAATATACTTATTCGAAATCCATTCTCGTATTTAACTTATTTAATTCCATTATTCATTAACAGAAGTGAATTTGATAGTTATGTACGAGGGTAGTCCGAAAGTATATCACGATAATAACCCTTCACACAATCCAACTGGACTCAGATACCGGGCCACCTAGGTTGATGAACTAATCGAAACCCCATTGATAACATAATCGTCCGATCTAATTTGTTTTCAAAATGAAGTGCCTTATTAGGACTAGACCAAAATTTAGAAATAACATGCTTACATAAACAAATATTCATGGTAATTATTATGATTTCAACTTTAAATAGTGTTAAGTAGATGTAAATTTTTTTAAGATACTAAATAAAAATATTGCAAATATATATGTGATGTGCAAGAACACTGTACAATATGGATATTAACTTCACACCAGTGAGCTAGGAACAAGTGATTACATAGTGAACAAACGCTAGTAATATGTAAGAATGAAATAAAATGGGGATATTTCAATAGTTGAGATCATGAGTCAAATGAAATTAGACCACCATGGAAAACCCGGAAGCACTGGTTGGCCGTTTCGTCCTAGTATGAGACTCTTCGGCAATGCGCATCCACAACCTTGATCCCCGCGTGATTCGAACCCAGGACGTATTAGTCTCACGCGCGAGCGCTTAACCTCTTGACCATTGAGCTGGTCGGCATCCAACGGTGTTAATGTCTAATTTCAACCAGTCCACCACTGGAGTTAAACCGGGTCTTTTGTGAGATGGTAATTCACTGATGATAATGATGGACGATGTCGCAACTTCTTATATTGGTTGAATTTAGACATTAACAGCATTGGATGCTGGTCGGCTCAATGGTCTAGTGGTTAAGCGCTCGTGAGCGAGACCGATAGGTATGGAAAAAAGGGGCATGAAGAATTCAGAAGATTAGAACTTGGGAGAACACAAAGAGTGGATACACCTGCGTCACCTGAGCGATTTCATTCAAGGTCTCTAACCATCGGTCGCTATCGTTTTATACTGTTTAGCTTAATTTCTTTCATGTTCTTTCTTTCTTAGGTATTTTACACTATACTAGTGAATAATATTCATTAGTTAATGTTATTAGTAGTCATTTTGAAACTTGTAGTGGTGAGACTATTATTTATGGACATCCTTAGAGCGATGCCTAAGTGACTTTGAGAATGTCCACCCACGAACTATAGTTAAATGAGGGTTTTAAACCTGTGTGAAGGATAAGGATTATGATTTGCATTTTATGTTTAGGGATACGGATTAGACTAAGGGTTTTCATTACGAACTGACGTCAGCTAAAATGCCAAGACGCTATTTACCCAAATGGATAAAGAATGTTGAAATCCTGTTTTTTTAACATTAACACCATTGGATATTGGCTCAGCAGTCTAGAGGTCAGGCATTCACATGTGGAACCGAAAGTACTATATTCGAGTAGTGAGCGTGGGATCGTAGATGAGCACTGTTGAGAAGTCCAATACTAGGACGAAATAGCCATCCAGTACTCCCAGGTTTTCAATGGTGGTCTAACAATGATTGATACTCTCTATGTTTTGAATAAGTACACAATTCCTTGGGGTAATTAACATTTCTATCCATAATTGTTACGTAACAAGGCATAGATTCGTGAATACAACATGCTCAATGAATCGAATTTACTTCAAATCAAGAAATTAGAACTTAAAGAGAGTCGTGAGGTAATCAGATCTCCATTTTTTCCTGTACATATGACCCACCATTATATGATTTTGCGTTTTTTTCTTGTTCCGGTTTTCTAGAACTTTCTCTGTCGTTCTTAAACATGAGCATGCTATGGTCATCGAGTTAACTAATTTTAAGCTTATATTCTTTTTCTTAACCTATGATCCTATACAGTTAGTCTTTTATTGATAATGCGTAACTTCACTAAGTAACTCTTCGACATTAGAAAACTTCAATATGGTTGCATCGGGTCTAACTTCAAGAAGTTTAATTTGAAATTATAAGATGTTTAATTAGAATCAAAATAGTGAAAACTTCCATTTTGACATTTGGTAAATAAAGAAGAAACGAATCGAGCGAAGAAATTTCTTTTCAATTAGTTTATCATCATGGTAATGTGGGTACCCGATGAAATTCATCGACAAGCACATGGAGGAGATGAAAAGAAGAACAATGATACCTACCGTTTCTAAGAAAGTATTGTTCATAAAATTACAATTCCTAAAGGACACTATTGAGGAAATTGCGACTTAGAGACTAAGAAAAGCGGTACAAAAAACATTTATGGCAGCCTGACTAAGTACTATCTTCTGCAACCACCCCACAATAAGAACGGCCAATAAAGACAGGTTGCCTGAATTCTCCAAATCCATGTGTATTTATCGGTTCAACTGCTCCTGTGGAGCTAGTTTTATAGGGCGTACAATTCGGCAAGTTCGTCATCGTATAACAGAGCACTATCCATCGTGGTTGAGCAAAGGACGGGTAAGAGTGATTAAGAGTTCTATTCTCGCTCACTTGGTTGACACAGATTATCAAGTTGAACTGAATACAGCTTTTAAGGTTATCCACCATATTCCATCAAATTTGGTTTATGGGTGCGTCTTTTGCATATTGCTGAAGCCATTGCAATCCAACTTCATAAACCTAACCTTTGCATCCATAAGAAGTTTGTACAACCAATTTCACTACCTTGACCATCGGTATAGGGGCGTTTATAGCAGAACCGTTTTTGCATTTCTTCCATTTTTTGTTTGTTTTTTGAATTTTGTATTTTTTGTCAACATTCATCTGTTGATTCTTACATAACTACTATTCTACTGAAAATTCATTAAAATACTCAGTTCCTTCTCTTTTTCATATATTATGAAACATAGCAACTGCTCGATATTTCAATAATTACTTTGATTATTATTAATCCTCTTTCTTCCACTTACTCAATAGTAATTTATAATCGATATGTGATTATGTATTTATTACGTAACGTATCCTTACTTACTTACTTACTTACGCCTGTTACTCCTAATGGAGCATAGGCCGCTGACCAGCATTCTACAACACACTCTGTCCTCGGCCTTCATTTCTAGTTCTATCCAATTCTTGTTCATTTCTCTCATATCTATCTCCATTTCCCGTTGTAATGTGTTCTTTGGTCTTCCTCTTTTCCTTTACTTAGCATTGAGGATTCCATGTGAGGGCTTATCTTGTGACGCGTTTGGGTGCTTTCCTCAGTGTGTGCTATCCACTTCCAGCGCTTCTTCCTGATTTCTTCCTCCTCTGGAATCTGGTTTGTTCTTTCCCATAGTAGATTGTTGTTGACAGTGTCTGGTCAACGGGTCCGAAGTATTTTACGTGAACGACTGTTAATAAACACTTGTGACTTCTGGATGATGACTTTTGTAGTTCTCCAAGTTTCTGCCTGATACAGTAGAACTGTGTTGACATTTGTATTGAAAATTCTGACCTTGGTGTCGGTTGACAGTCAGCTATTTTGATTTCCAGATGTTCTTCAGTTGTAAATACACTGCTCTTGCTTTACTGATCCGCGCCTTCACATCTGCATCAGATCCACCTTGTTCATCAATGATGCTGCCTATATATGTAAATGTTTTTACATTTTCCAAATCTTCTCCGTCAATTGTGATTGGATTGGTGCGTGCTGTGTTGTATTGGAGAATCTTGCTTTTCCCTTTGTGTGTATATTGAGACCTACTTCTGTTGAGGCTGCTGCTACACTGGTCGTTTTCTCCTGCATTTGTTGTTGTGATTGCGATAAGAGGGCCAGATCATCTGCGAAGTCCGCCTGGAGTCCCTCCGGGGGCTACTGCCGGTCTCAAGCCTGGATAAAGGAGGAGGGTTGGGCATGGGGTTAGCGACCCCATCCCGTAGAAAACTAACTCGCTAAAAAAACGCGTAACGTATCCAGTCGATGAGTACTATTTTATTATTGCATATATATATGTAGAATCGTAATAACTAATAATGATCATTGATAAATTTAACCTAGAAAATATCTGGTACCTTAATCACCTTAAAATCTGTTGCCATCATCAACAGTATCAACCTTTTCTTGTAATTAAACGACAGTTATTATTATTTCATCAATAATTCATTCATTCATTTCATTACTCTAAATCAATTATCATTTCAGAAGGGATTTTTTAATGTGGATATGATAGTAATTTTAATAGATGAAATCATCAGTCCATTAAGGAATGGAGAAGATTTGTAGTTCAGGTGGATAGAGTTTGTACTACTGATGATATCATTTAGAAGAATGACGAAAACTTCACAACCAAACCATCCAAATCAGAGAAAAAAAACTCTATCAAAATCAATTGAAGAGTCTTAAAATAGAACAAAATATCTATCCAATGCTTCCAGGTATTTCATGATGATCTAACTTCAATTAACTCATGATCTCAATTATCGTTTGTTTAGATTATAGCAACTCATGTGCAATTGAGTTTGTTCTCATTTAACTCAGTTAAGCCCTTTTGTTAACTTATTTAGCGGACAAAGTCATCCTTAATATAACAACTTATTGTGCCTTTATTTTTGTTGTGCTTGTATGAAATACGTATGCTTGAACATTGTTTACCGTCTACGCATATATTCATTGTGCTAGCTTTATTATTAACGGCTTAATCGATTCGATGATCCATTCATTTCCCTATATATATAAACATGTACATTTAACACTCTACACTGTCGATTCACTGACTCATTCATTTGCCTCTCGATTTTGTGGTCTGAATTATCTGCTAATAAAACTGTAGTCGCTGCTTCTCTTTACCTTCTGATTTCAAACACCGTTGAGGATTATATGATAAAGGTTACGAGGGTAATTGGTCAACGATGCACAGTCACTACAAGATTATGTAATTTATTGATTTTTTGAAGTTTATTATTTATTTTTTTCTTTAATTTGTTTTCTATTCATCAATAGATCTAAATATATACGCATCATTTGATGAATTCAGTATCAATGGTATGGATAATCAAAAGAATTTTATTAAAAATCAATCATCTTCACATAAAACTTCTGGTAAATTATGTGGTTGTTTCACAAGAAGATAATAAAGTGAGATATTTATTTGGAAGAAAGCATTTATTATAACAAATGAACATACTACTTACTTGCTTACTTACTTACCTACCTACCTACTTACTTACTTACTTAACTGCTTACCTACCTACCTACTTACCTATCTAGCTACCTAGTTACCTACCTACTAACCTACTTACTCACTTGCCTATCTACCTACCTACTTACTTATCTGCTTACCTACCTACTTACCTACTAACTTACCTACTTACCTACCTATCAACCTCCTACTTGCTGACTTGCTTACTCACTTACTTATGCCTGTTACTCCTAATGGAGCATAGGCTACCAACCAACATTTTCCAACTCGCTAAAAAAGCGCCAACTAGAAAAAACAATTCAAATGCACGTAGAAAATCTATATATTGATTGTTGGATTACTGGATTTGGGATTTCTTTTCTTCATTTGAACATGTAATGCATATACATAATTAACGTTTCCTGTTATTATTATTATTATTGTCATTGAGGTTAATCAATTGAATAATTCATTGTTATTTGATTAATTTAAAAGTTGAATTCATGAGTCCATTGAAGCTGGACCACCATGGAAAACCTCAAAGTACTGGACGGCCGTTTCATTCTAGTATGAGACTCTTCAGCAGTGCACATTCACAATCCCGCCACGCGAGATTTGAGACTGACAGATCCTGGTTTCGAATCTCGCGAGGGTGTATCGTGAATGAGCACTGATGAAGAGTCCCATAGTAGAACGAATCGGCCATCTAGTACTTTGAGGTTTTCCATGATTGTCTAGCTTCAATGGACTCATGAATTCAACTATTATCTTACTATAATATTCACAAAAACCCATCTTTAATTTGATTACTTGGTTGAGAAATGACTGTGATCATTTTTAATGATGTTTTAAAAATAATTGAGATATTTTGAAAAGTTTAAGTAATAAGATAGTAAATAATAGAGAAAATCTGTAGCTTAACTATATATATCTTCGTTAGCATTGTGTTACTAAAGGTGAATAATTTACTTACTAGGCTTCAGTGTAGATGCCATCGACCTGACTCCAAAGAATCAACAATTTGAGATTTCAAAAAGAGCAAGAACAAAGATTGGTACAGTTTGTTTATGTATTTTTGGCAAATGAGATCCACGAAGTTGTAGATTATTGTAAGTGGAATTATCGATCATCATCTTCTTCAGGAGATCCCTGAATACTTTTGCGATTCTTTTTTTCAGCTGAATCAGTTAAGTGCTTGTTACTTTTATCAAACTTAAATCTCATGTGGTCACATAAAATGGACTTTATCTTAGAGACATAATCTGTTTTGTTCATTAGAACAACAGCTGAACCTTTATCTGACCATAATATCATTAGATCATCATTTCGCCTAATATTTCGTAATGCTGTTAGGTGGTCTTTGGATAAAAGTTTAGACTGTTGTGTCGGTGAAACGAGATATTGGTTTGCGATATCAACTAATTTAGACTTAAACCAGCCTCTCTTCTCTCCACTAACTTCAATTTGAGTTTCCGTGTCGATTCTGTCGGTATGTATTTTAGGGATATGGAATTTAAATCCAAGCGATAAAGTTTCTGCACTAATCTTTGTTCTTGCTCTCTTTAAAGGAACTCTGTGTATGAAATTCGCGATTTTTTCACGATGTTTTGTAAGTTAGATATTGTCGACCAACCACTTTTCCAACAATGAAAAATCAAAAATTGTAACGTCTAAGATCCAAATATTTCGATCTGACAACAGAAAACGATCCAAAAAAAATAGAGATACATTTTATTGGGCTAAATCACTGTATTCTCCTGTATAGAATACGAAGATTCGTTGGGTCATTCATAGTTGACGAATATTTCTTAATGATATTAAAGTCTCGTGACTTCCGAAGAATTTCGGCTTTCATCCTAAGGCATCATAATTCTTCCTTCAACTCCCAGGTTTAGTTTGTTTAGTCTGGTTGGTGTTTTTTTTAACAAGATTTTCCTCTACATAATAGAATTGCCGACCCCATGCCCAACTTTTCTCCTCTATCCATTCCTGGGACCGTCAAAAATTCCAGGAGAACTACAGGCGGAGTTAAAGCATAAATTGATGCATGAACATTTATGATACTATTGAGTAATAATAAAACATAACAAAATGTTCAAAATAATTCGACAATACTGTTGGCTTATTACACAGTCGACATTTTCCTGGATGTAAAATAGTGTCCTATACAACAAAACAATAATTAAATACAACTGAGAAGTGGTTAAAAATCAAAATCTGTATCTGGAGTAAATGTTTTTTGGGTTCAAAAGTTGGTGGGAGGTTGAAAACAGCAATCTGTTTAAAATAATTGGTTATAAACCTAACGATAGGATCAAGAATTAACTTAAAAACCAGTACCGAACCATCTTCTTACTTCGTAGGGGAATCGATTTTCCTTTAACAAATTATACATATGGAATGACGCTATTTCGATTTTTCATTTTTGCCTTATGACAATCAGTGTGTTCATTACCACTACACTTCTGTCCATCTTTTATTCTTAATAGTTAACTACGATCAATATAATGAGCTTACTTACGTTATTCAGTAACCACTATCAATCTATGAGTGTCAAATACAGTTATGTGATAATTTAACTCATAGCTTTACGTGAAAGCCACATAACCAGATAAATCTGTAACTTGAACTAACTTAACACAGTTATAAATCTCTTCTGCTACTTTCATAAATTTGAAAGAACAAATAAACACTTGCTAAGCAGAGATACTTTTAAATTGTAGCGTGGAGTCAAGCTGCGATTGACTATGAACACCACTACACGAAGACTACGTGCCAGTTAACCGATAAAATCCCCCGTAAGCCAAATATCAGAAGGCACTTGATGGCTGTAGTCGAGATGTATTTATTGGCGATCTCGTGGTATCGAAAGAATACCGAGATAGTGCCAAAGGAGTACAAGTGTGGTTATCTAGCGTAACCGAACCCGTGCAAGGTCACAATCAATCGAAGGATAATGGAGCAGTAATATGGCTGTCTTTAGCACAGTTAAACAAACGAGCACAGTAAAACAATCACTGGTACAATTGATTATACTAATAATTGTTTCTATTACATCAATCGCGTTCTCTTGATAAAAGTAGGTCACTACAAGATGATAACAGAAATAAGCTAAAGATAGACAGCTAATGACGTATTGGCACACGTATCAATCTCCATATGAGATGGATTGATAATTCACATTACTGATTGTTGATCTTCTAGGAATTAAAATAGGCGACATGAAGTTTTATAATCAATCATCAGTACAAATGAATAATTTTAATAAAGTTGAGGATTACTTTAATAAATTTCTAATAGTTGGAAGAAAAAAAGTAGCTGGATTCAGTAGAAGTTCAAGATTAAGAGGACCTTGACACGAGTTGCATCCTCTAGTTATTGAGAATTTGAAAGCGTGTGTTAATCAAGGTGACAGAAACTATTAGAAAAGCAATGTATAATAACAATGTGATGATACATGTATCTAAGCATTTTGTAGCTGCTCAAGTGTTCAAAGATACATAAAACCATAATAATGTAAACAAGTTGTCAATAACAATCATATACATATGTCGTAAATCTATGTGAGTTGAAAAAAGACTTTTTAAATATACATCAGACAAAAATTTAGTAAACTTTTATGTAAAGAAACATTAACTTGTAATGACCTACTTCTATGAAGAGAATGCGATTGGTATAATAGAAACAATTATTATTATAACCAAATTGTACCAGTGATTGTTTTACTGTACCTGTACCTCATGATCGAGTTAGTCACCAAAAAAAGAGAAATGATGAGAGTAAGCAACCTTGTCTGACTCCATTCCTCACTTGGAATGCGTCTGTCAGATGTCTTCCATGCACGACTTTGCATTGTAGACCGTCGTATGAAGTTCGGATGATGTTAACGATCATCTCAGTAACTCAAACCATAGTGTCGAAGAATTTTTCATGATGTTTTCCTATCCACACTATTGGATGCTTTCTTACAGTCAATAAAACATTCAATTAATTATCCAACAATAATTCTTTGTGTCACGATTTGGTCTGTACGCGACCGATCCTTACGGAATCCAGCCTGTTTATCTCGAAGTTGGGAGTCCACTACGTCTTTCGTCCTGGTCAGCAACACTCTGTTGAAGACCTTTCATTGTACTGACAGTAGTGTGATGCCTCCGTAGTTTTCACATTTGCTCAGATCTCCTTTCTTTAATACCTTGATGAATTATCCTTTTTCCAGTCCATTGGCTTTTCGTCTTCCTGCCAAATCTTCCTGAATAGAACGTGGAGCATGTTTGGAAATACTTCAATATCTGACTTCAATGCTTTAGTTGTTATATTTTTAGGTCCTTCTGTCTTCTCACTCTTAATTTGTCTGATGGCCATCCTAATCCCTTCGATCGTTGAAGGAGTGAGACCTATAGGAATGTCTGTGTGTGTTACTTCGATGTCCGGTAGATTCAGTGGAGCTGGTCTATTCAAGAGTTTTTGGAAATAATCTACCCATTTGTCCCTCTGTTGTTCAATCTCAGTGGTTGACTAGCCTTCTTTGTCCTTAACCGGCCACTCTCATCCATTATATTTCTCTGTCAGATTCCTCATTGTATCATACAGGTGATTTATATTTCTTTCTTTTACGGCTGTTTCCGTTGTCATTGCTAGGTCTTTCATGTATTACTGCTTGTCAGCTCTAACACTCTTCTTTACTCGCTTGTTTGCGTTTGTGTATTCCGTTCTTGTTCGCCTGTTGTTAATTGCCGGCTTTCCTACGATTTTGATAGAGATGCATTTCTTATGATGATGTCTCGTGAGACTCAGAACCTCCAAACACGTTGAAGTTAGTACTACTTTGATGCCTTTCCAGTTTTCCTCCATAGTAGTTTCTTCTCACTTCAGCAGATACTGTAAGGCTTGAAACCTGTTGTTGAGAGTTCTCTTGAATTCATTGAGTTCGTTAGTATATCGTAGAAGGGC